GCCCCACTCACCTGGCCCCATTCTCATCACCTTCCCCCAGCCTGAGGGACCCACAGAAACAAGCGCAGCCTGCTCGGGGCCAACGCCCCAGAATCCCCAGCCACCCCCTTCCCCGCCCATTACCTGCAATCATAATCCAAAACAGGGGCAGTGCGGTGAGGAATATCATTTTGTACAGCGTGTGATGACAGCTGGAGGAGGGACAGGGGGGGTTAAGGATTAGGGAAGGGGTTCTTCCCTTAAGGCTTCAGGAGGGGGCTTGTTCCGGCAGGAGGTGCTATTAATATTGATAATGACAAACATTTCTATGGCATTGACCAGGTACCAATCCTCAGTGCTTTACTCTGCTATATTAATTCATTCGATCTCTTTGAGGCAGGCGCACTCACTACTCTGATTTTACAACTGAGTTCCAGAGAGGTTAAGTAACCTGTCCAAGCCACACAGCTCTTACAGCTGCTTACGCATCAACTAGGCCAAGCCCTATCTGCACACCCAGCTCCAGGTGTGCAGGCTTAACCCCCAACTGTCCTGTCTCTACGTGGTTGTAAGATGCTGACAAGGATCCTCAGCACCGTGGTGCTCCTGGGGACCCTCAGGAAGTAATGACAGAGCCAAGCTGGACCAGCAGCAGGAAGAAAGGGGAGCCCCGAGGAAGGAACCCTGCCCCTCACCTCCGTCTCCCTGAGTTGGGGTGTCTTCTGGTCCCACTTGAAGATGTCAGCCTGCCAACCTGGAATAAGAGTCAGACAGGTGCAAGGGGGCAGGAGCCTGAGCACCCCTGTCCCGCCCAGCATCTGCTATGAGTTGCTGCCTGTTGAAAGGCTGCCTGCCCGTGGATGCTCGGGCCTCTCCCACACAGCCCAGCAGCTACTCTACATAGGGTCACTCCCCACCCCACCAAACTGCCATGGAGAACTGTGGGGAAGGAAAGGGGAATGACAGAGCCTTGTGGGGGGAAGGGGCTGTGGTGAGTGGGGGGAGACCTGGGGGTGGTAGGCAGAGAGACTCAGGGCCATCAATGACTGGGTTTCACAGCATCAGCATTCCCAACATGCCGTGTGAATTCCTGCCGCCCGCTCCCACCCCACAGACGGCCCCTGCTGTCCCCACCCTGAGCAGAGGCCAGTGCCCAGCACAAAAGAGCCCTGTTCCCTCACGGGGAGGGTGCTGCATCTTGGGGGACTCCTGGGGTAGGTGGGGTGAGAGAAGAGACACAGTCCTGGCTGGGCTTTATGAGGGGCCAGGAAGGGCCAGGGGTTGGGAGGTCAGGAGACCCTCCTGGTTGCTCTGTAGGTCCCCCTCAGGGTTGGAGACAGGGTCTCCAAGTGCTGCCTTTCCAGGCCTTCATCACCCTCTTCCCACGGACACAGATGCAAACACAGCCAAACACATGCAAATGCTGCTATGAAATATGATAGATCTAGACCCAGCCAGAGGAGCAGGCTTGGACCGCAGAGACTCATGTGGACACCTGGTCAGGGCCCTACAATGTGAACAGGCACTGAGACCCCAGTGTCCGCAGACTGCTGGCACACACAGTCACAGAAGCACACCTGCACTGACATTGGCACCACGTTCAGGCATGCACGTGGTCCTGCCTGCATGCCATGCTCACAAAGACACGGCTGCACACCCACACTGACGTGTAGCTAGGACAGACCTGCCCAGACACATACTGATGGACACAAGGCAGATGATGGCAGTGATGGTGACCCTCCAGGGCCACAGTACATAAACGTGCACGGCACATCTGTAGTAGTGAAATTCACAGGGCCAGTGGGCTTTAGGAAGAGCAGGTCTAAAAAATTTTTTGGTGGGGGTGTAAAAAAAGTTGACAAACACTGATGTAAATTCAGACCCACCCAGGGTGGTACACACCCACACGCGCACGCACACGTGTACACGCGCGTGCTCACGCGCACACACCCCTTGTTGTGCTCCCAGGTGCTGGAACTTGCTCACTCAAACCTCACTGCCTCACCCTCCCACAAGGCAGGATGCAGGTATCTAATCACGTGGGCATCAGTCAGCTCTTCACCCAGGCCCAGGCATTTCCACCACATCTGCCCCAAACTTGGAAGCCCCAGGGCAGCTGTTCCTGCAGAACCCCCACCAGGAAGGGTGGTGAGGAGGGCCCTTCTTTCTCTCTCTGTAGTTTCTTCCCAAAGCCCTGTCACTGTCCTGCCACGGTCCCAGCTCATTCCAAAGTCCCAAGGAACACCCTCCCCATCCTAAATTAGTGGCAGTTCACAGCGCCATCCTCACCTTACACATACCTCTGGTGCCCCTGCTTCACCCTCTCAGTCATGGCCCTCTGCTCCCACCCTGTCCCCAGCCCCTCTTGGCTGCTGTGTACTCACCAGGATGCTCCTGTGTCTGCACCCTCTGCTCCTCACCCCTGCTGACAGTCCCCTGGCCTCCCAGGGTCTAGGCTGATTCCTGGGTTCTACTAGCTCCTTCCTGGAGGGGATGGGGGCGCTGCCTCACTTGTTCCCCTCTCCTGCATTGCTGTGCACCCTGGTTCGGCGTCCCTGGGAGGGCGTTCTAATATCTCTGAACATCTCAGACTGAGAAACAGAAGGCGTTGTCCTCAGCATCCAGGGAATCTTGGTGGCAATGACAGGTACAACCCTGGTCAGGAGAGGCAACAGAGGCCGGCGTGGGTGGGAGAGGAGACAGGACCTTGCCATTCAGGGCTTCAGTGTCACCTCCACCCTCCCTTACAGTCACTCCCCTGGTCACAGTGGTGCCTGCATCCTGGTCTATTTGCTTCTAGGCTCTTCTTGTCATCAGAAATGACCTTAGGTATTGCTGTCTCCTCTCATGAGAACATGACCTCCAGGAGGACGAGGGCTTTGCCTGCTGTAGCCCAGCTCCTGGCGCAGCTAAGCTTCATAAACGAAGGGTGGATGCATGCACCTATCTGTCCAGTACCCTGTGGCACCTTCTGACTGGAGGCCTTTGCACTGATCCCCTCCTCCTGGAAAGCTCCTCTACCTCGCCCCACGCCCACTCTGTCTAGCCAGAGCCACCAAGTGGATGCCACTTCCTCTGGAACCGGCCTGCCTTCTCACCAAGCCAAAGTCCCTCATTTACATGTGACTGTCCCTCCACACCCCTCAGCACATCTGCTCATCTGCACAATCGGTGAGCTCCTTCCCCACTAGCCAGGAGCTTCCAGAGGGCAGTGTTTCTGTCTGTCTGTCTTACTCCCCTAGAACAGAGCCCCAAGGGTATTTGCTGAGGGCTGTGCTGTCTCTGAGCAGGGTAGGGACCCACTGTGGGCAGATTCCGCGTGATCCTCCTGCCATCCAGACCCTTCCATTCGCATGATCTCTGCAAAGTGGTGGTGGGAGCTGGCAGTGGTTTGGTTAAGTGCAGTAGTGTTTTGACTGTGAGCTGCTCAGTCACATTGGGGCATCTTCTGTGGGGAGGGAGGGAGGAAGGGAGTGTCCTTTCTCCCAAGGGAGAACCTGGGGGGATGGCGGGCTGAGGGGCGGGAAATCCCTCAGACAGGGAATTGAGGAGAGAAGGCTGGATGGAGGAGGGAAGGAGAGTCCCATCCCCACATCAGGCTTTATGATGTCAGACTCTGCCCGTGCCTTTCCCAGTCAGGGACAAAGGCCCATTGAGAGTGGGGTGGGGCTTGACCGCCTGGGTCCTGGAGAAGAGAGGGGCCTGGTGCCTGGGCTTTGGGGGAGGGCACCATGACCTGGGATACTCATGTTACAGCCTTCAGTGTCAGCACCAACCCCCTTGGGTTCATGTACCTGTGCTGTTTTGGGGTACATCTTTCTGGGTGTGAACTGAAGGCTGTCCCTGAGAGAAGGATGCACAGGCAAGTGAGTCCCATAGACAGCACTGGCAACTATTACCGAAATCCGAAAACCCCGGTGTCCAGAACACAGGAGGACTGGGGGACCAGAGAGCATAGGCCTGCCTACAGGGGAGCAGTGCCACTCACACCCAGCCCCCAACTCTGCCAGATCACCCAGTTCTTCCCTTCAAGGCTAGGGACACTGTGGCAAAGTACCACAAAACGAATGGCTTAGAAAGTTTATTCTATCACTGCTGGAGGCTGGAAGTGGGAAGTCAGCACTTTGGCATCGGTTCCTTAGGGCTGGGGAAAAGGAGCTGTTCCTTCCCTGCAGGGCTCCCCTGGGCTTGCAGGCGGGCACCTTCATGTGCAGCAGGCGTTCTCCCTGGGTGAGGGCCTCTGTGCCCAAGAACCCCTTTTATAGGACACCAGTCCTCCTGGGTTAGAACCTACCCTAATGACCTCATTTTAACTTAATTACCTCTCTACAGACCCTCTCTCCAAATAAGGTCACAATCTGAGGTACTGGGATTTAAATCTTCAACTTACATACTTGAAGGAGAGGGGCACAGTTTAGCCCATAATATCAGGAGTCCAGATTTTTATGTGCCATACCTTGCTTTTTAGGTATTAGCCCAATTGTATCTAAAAATACTGTGCAGTGCAAGCAAAACTCAACTCAAGGCAGATCAAGCCCTCAGGCCCACTTGTTTAAAGCTCTCTTAAGGGATAGCTGGTTCTTGGTCTCAGCGCTCAGCCAGAGTAAGTCAGCTTTGTACCAGTTGTTGTCAGCTTTGTCCCCCCACCCCCACCCCCACCCCCACCCGCCAGCAGCATCAGTATTGCCTGGAAGCTTATTAGAAGTTCCATGGCCTCGCCCCAGCCCTGCAGAGTCAGCAACTCTGGCAATCTGCCCCCAGCAGATTCTGGTGCCCACAGAAACTGGAGCACCTCTGCCGCTCTCGAGGACCACCTGGAGAACTTGCTAAGATGAGCAAAGAGTACTCAGCATCATTAAATGTATTTAGTTGTTTCAGGTTTCCCACCTCCCAGGCATTTATTGAGGGGCCCAGAGTCCTCTTCCTCCCCCTTTATACTGATCCTTTATACTGATGAGGCATTTGACAGTTTCCAAAGCCATTTCACACTCATTCCTTGCTGAGCCGCTCAACAGCCCAATCAGCTGAACACTGTAGGGACACTTCTGTCCTTTCACACATGAGGAGGTGGGGTTCAGAGAGGGGGGGGGTAGAGAGAAGATGCCTGCTCCATCCTACAACAAATGAGGCCAGGCTCTCCAGCTTGCCTTCCTCTCCCGCCCCTTGGTCTTGGTTCAGGAAATCCTCTCAGAGGAGGAGCCGCTCATGGCTTCGAAGGCAGAAAGCAGAAGTTTGTGGGTTACCAAACTGATCCAGCTCCCAGTTGGGTTTAGTTTAGCTCCCAGAGTATTGATTTAAAAAAATCAAATTCCTATAATCAGTTGCCAAAATTTTTACAATCAGGAAGGATGGCCACCTTCTCTGGGAAAGAAGCTCTAGCCATGTTTCACCCGGAGCCACTTTAGATGGGATCAGGCCTCCCACTCCCTGTCCATACACAACACTGAAGCCAAACGGCCAAGCCCCTTCATCATCACACCACTGCTGTTTTCTTATAGGCTAAGAAGATAGTGAAATGCATCTTTGTTTCTATCAAAAGTGGGAAAATTGGATAAATTGAGAGGGATATAGTTTTTAAAAAGAATGGGAGAGACCTTAATTCCTTGCGAAAGTGAACGGTATTCTCTTCTGTGTGTCATGTGTAAAGTGTGTCCTTATTGAATTACAACCTAATATGCTCCTGCGAAACAAATCCACACCTCCCTCATTTACTGCAGCTGTCTGCAAGGCCAGTGGTTCTCAAACATTTTGGTCTCAGGAATCCTTTCTGCAAAATTACTGAAGACTCCAACAACTTTAAGTGGGTTATATGTATAGTTGCTTAACATATTAAAAATTGAAACTGGGAAATTTTTAAAGCACAACTACAATCCATTAGCCATCAGAGTGATGATGTCATCATGTCACAGAGCTTCTGGAAAACCCCACTGCACACTCATGTGAGAATGAGTGTAGGAAATAGTAACATCTTAATAGTGTCCGCCTGTGGGGCCTTGGATGGAGCCCCAGACCTGACTTTGAGAACCCTCGCTAGGCATTTGAGTTTGTCACCCATTTCAAGACTTAAAGAAGAAACTTTGTTTAGTTTTTATTCCCTGCTGTAGCAACAAAAATTCTAGGTCTTATGAAGTGGGGCTTAAAGAAGGGGAAGAGCAGAAAACAGATTTCTTTCACCAAGCTTCCTTGCAACCTCAATACACAACAACCCCGCACATCCCACTGAGTACACCCTTACAAGACAGTAGCCAAGCAGGCCTCAGGCATAGGCCTCGGGCAGGGAGAAAGGGCAACACGCTGGTTTGGAAAATAAAAGCTGGAACAGTCATTTTATTCCGAGACCATTTACAGAGTGTTCAAGGGCGGCAGGAATAAATAAGGGAGGGCGGGAGGACAGGGAGACTATGTCTTGCAGCAGATCCCACACTTGGATGGGTAACAGCAGCCACAACAGAAGATGCAGATGGGGAAGTGAGTGTCTCGCCGCCTCCGTCTCTGCAGGCCTCTCTGCAGGCCGGGCTGTAGGAAGGAAGGAAGAGTGAGCGGGTGTGGGCGCAGGGAAGGCTGTGAGGCTCTGAAAGGAGGCCCAGGTGTTCTCACCATCAAGCCAGCTGTGGCTCCAGCTGTATCCTGGGTCTGGAGGTTTGCAAGCTGTGTTGTCTGTGAAAGCAGAAGGGAATACTAAGGATGGCAGGGGCCCGGCAGAGCTTCATTTGCGCACCAACCCATTCTTCCCTCAGCTGGAAGCCTTGCTTTCTGGCCTTTCTCACCTCCCCACAGGCAATCTCCTTCCTGCAGACACCCAGGCCTCCTACTCTCTCCACAGCTGCTGCTCTTCTTTGGGACATCACCCTCCCTAGCCTGGATGCCACCCTCACCCATAAAAAAACCTGCCTCCATCTTGCCCCTACAATCCACTCCCCACACGTATCAGTCATGTTGTGGCTTTACCCACTAGAAAAGCCTGCAGGGCTCTTCCTGCACTTGGAGGAAAATCAGGGTTTGCATGATTGCCCATAAGACCCAGCATGCCCACTGCTCAATCTCAGCTCCAAGCACCACCACCCACTTCCTACTTGCCCCCACCTCGGGTTTTAGCTTACCGTCTCTGTCTCACCCTCCAAGTTCTAGGTCAAATACCATTTTCTCACAAAACACTCCTGCTTGACTGCCAGCTCTTGATCTCACCTATCCCCTTCCACCTCCCACCACCATGGTCACTCTATAATTTTTTTGTTAAACCTGAGTAGCATTTACTAAACACCATGATCTTTTGTTTTTACTAATTCCCTGACCAGATTGTATGCACCATAAGAGCAAAAATCTTCTCTCATCTCCCTTATTCATTGCTTGACCCCCACTGCTTAGAATAGGACTTTACAGAGTAGGCACTCAAATGTAGAATTCATTTGGGACCCCCAGTCCCTGCCACTTGGACCCTATCTCTGTACTTTAGGCAGCTGCTCATCCCCCCTTTGCCTGCCTTGCCATCTGCCCAGTCCACTGCCCTCAGCAGTCCCCTCCGAGGGCCTGGCTCTCCCACGTGGCTGCCTGCTGGGCCCAGGCCCCGTGGGCTCTCACCTGGTGCAGAGCTGAGGCACTGGTCAGGCTGGCCAGGAGGAGGAGCAGAAGACAGGCAGCCTGGATCCGAACGGTCAGTGCCATTGTGCCGTCTGGCTAGCTGTCCTGCTGTGAAGTCTTGAACGGCTCTGGTGTCTGGGCCGTTACAGCCGCTTTTATGGGGCCTGCTAGGAGAGGCGGAGGTGCTAAGCCCCCTCCCCTTTGTCCTAACTCATTTCCAAGAAGGTAGTGGCGCCGAAAAGGCGGGAGATAAGCGGGAAGAGTGACAGGGAACAGGGTTGTGTCAACCTCAGCCAGCAGAGGTGTGTACAGGGGGTGGGGCAGATGGGGCCACAGACACAGGCCTCTAGCCAGACACCTGGGAAACACTTTCCCTAAGATGACATCACCTTGTTGATCTCAGAAAAAATTCCCCCTTTTGCCACAGAGGTTACACAGGTCAATGAGCAGGAGCAAAGTGTCCTTGTTCCCCACCCCTCCTCATTCACATGGGGGATGGCTGTCACTTACCAGGGTCCTTTGGGGTGCCCCATACCATTCCCCCAGCTTCAGGTTCTGTTCTCTAGGGAACACTGCAACAGCTGGATGCAGGAGTTTGAGACGGCACAAGCGTGGTCTTTTCTAAGTGTCAGAACCTTAAGAAGTGGCCTGGTATCTGGAAAACGTTCCTGTGAACTTCAGACCATGGAATAGCAGTAACAGTGGTGGCTGCACCTCATGCCCCGGCAGGTGTAGACTCACTTTTGTGTTAACCTACCTAGGACCACCTGTCCTCAAAGCAGTGCCTGCTGCCCCATTCTGGGCTCTGCACTGTATTCAGGGCCCTAGCTGCCTATTCAGCCCATTTCCAAGGACCTGGCTTCCCAGGCGCTGCTCCCCCTTAGGAGCCCACCATGCCTACCCGGCTTGCTTTCCTCACTTGACAGGAGAGGAACTGAAGGCCAAGATGGGGCTCTGCCCAGATCAGAGGCAGAGCTGGCACTCCAGAGTAAGCAGCCTGACTCAGGCCTATGCTCTGATCACCAGGCTTTCCTGCCTCCCCCAAACATAGGATGTCAGTGGGCTGTGCTAGACCTGGCTTACTGGCTCAACAGAGCCACTGTGCACATCTCATCCCACCTCCACATTCAGTGGCAGCATGTTGTTATCTGGGCACCAGCAATGGGCTATGTACACAACAGCCAACACTACAAACCAGGGTTCTTTTGGGGGGAGAGCTGGTCCCTTAGAATAGTGGTCGCCAACCTTTCAGACGTCACGGACCACCGGTTGGCGACCACTGCCTTAGAACACCACTGGGTGGGGAGATGAACCAAGGCTCCTGACTGTCCTAGCCATTACCTGAATCACAAGTAGTGGGTACACACAGCCCATAGGACCCACAAACTTAATTCCAGAGATGGGACTTTGGCCATTTTGGCTCTGACTCATTCACAGATCATCCAGTGTCAACCTTACCACTGGAGCCTGAAGATGCTGCTGCCAAGGAATGAAAACTTCTCCCCTGCCCTGAACTACAGCCGAGCTCATTCAAAACAGTAAGATGGGAGCCCCTGGGAAATCAAGGCTGCTCCTTGCCATCTGCCTCCCCATTCACATCACATTAGGCTCCTCCTGCTGCACACACCCTCAAAGAGGGACTCAAACCGAGTAATGGCCAGGAAAAGGAGACAGGGCTCTCGGGGGAAGAAACCAGTTGGGGACATCTGGGGTGCATGCATGGTGAACTCAGCACGGTGGCAACTGGTAGGCCTAGATCCTGGGAGTGGATGGAGTTGCATGGGGGCTGCACGGTTGACCACAGGGAGACCCAGAAGCATCCCCCAACATTGCCTGTGTCACTACATCTCCACTCAGGCCAGGTTTCATCATCAGCCAGGGGCAGGGGTCATAGCACAGGCGCCAGAGCCACAGTGCAAGGCGACAGGCTGACGGGCCAAGCCTGGCTTCCTGGCCTTCTGCCTTCCTTGGGGGTGGGGGGCTCAAGGTCAGGCCCCACCATTGGCTGATGCAGAGGGAAGGGCTTCAGCCCAGAAGGGCAGAGCCAGGAGCCAGTCCTGTTTTTAGGAACTGATGACACGGGAGACCCCAGCCTCTCCTCTAAAGACATAGGTCCTTGACCCAACCTCTCCCGGCCCCCGCATACATATACACACCTGGGGTCTCAAAGAGGATATTCTTTAATTCCTCCAGCCAGCCAGCCAGCCAACAGACTGGGTCCCGTGCCGTACAGAATGGCAGGGACTGGCACAGAGCCACCAACAGCAGCTGAGGCCCTGTCCCGATAGAGCTCTGCACAGACCCCATGACCCCTGCCCACACCTGAGATGGACAAATACGCAAACAGACAAGGCGGGGCCACATGGGGCCAGTTTATTGCAGTTAAATACCTCTCTCTCTATTTTTTGTCCATTTTTCCATAAAGAAAATTAAAACACACACACACACACCCACACACACACACACACACACACACACACACACACACACACACACTCTCTCTCTCTCAAAGGGGAGCGGGAATCCAGAAACAAGAGGTGGGGTGAGACATGGCCTCCCTTCTTAGGTCCAGGTCCCAGGGATGGCCCCCCAAAGGCTCCCCTCCTGCCCATAAGCACCATGTCAGTACCTCTAGAGGCCAAAAGAGGCAGCGGGATATGGCAGGACCTCTGTCCTCCTCCCTTTTGCCTCCAGGCAAGACCACTAGAAGTGCTGGGGCTTAGTGGGGGCCAGGAGAAGGGGCAGACAGATGGGGGAGGGAGATCATTTCCACATCCAGGAGAGCAGTGGGTGTTTATCCAAAGAAATGCATTACTTCTCCCCATTATTTTTGTTAAAAATCTACTATAAAAAAACGCAGCTGGGGGAGGGGCATCTGTCCCTCTCTGTGCTAAGGGCTGGGGAAGGGGGCAGCAGAGTCGCAGAGGAGGGCCTGCCCCACGACGGGAAGGGCGTCACTGCCGGTTGCTCTCGCCCACCATCTCCAGGTTGTGCTGCTGCAGCTGGGCTCGAAGCACGGCATTCTCATTCTTCAGCTCCTCAATCTGGCAGACATGAGAGGGCACAAGGGGCCAAGGATAGCTCCCTGCACCGTAGGGTCCTGGGTCCTCCACCCAACTCCCAGCCCTGGCACTCACCTGTTGCCTCAGGAGCTCATTATCCATCTGCAGCCGTTCGGCCTCCTTGAAGGTCTCCTGCATGCGCTGGTTGGTCTGGCGCAGCTCCCGGATGTAGTCGCAGGCCTTTGACAGGATCCCTCCTTTACTCTGGGGGATGGGCAAGAGCATTAGAGTGAGCACTGCCCACTGGCCTCTGCCTACTAGCTCACCCCAGTGGTCCAGGCAGACTTTCTGGGTGGCGCAAGGGGCACTCACCGCTCCTGTCTTGCTGTTGTCTGTGTTACAATCTGGAATGATTTTTGAAAGTTGGACAATCCAGTTGTTGATCTTGTCCCTCCGCCTCCGCTCCACTGTAGGCACAATAGCAGTATCAACAGCTAGGTTTATAGCACTTTCTGTGCGGCTAGGCGATTTGCCTCCCGAGGCAGGTGCCGGCAGACCCCAGACTGCTGAGGGAGGTCACGGGCCCTGGGCAGGGTCACACTGCTAGCAAATCTAGAGTCAAGATCTGAAGGCCGGCCGCCAGCTTCCCCGCCTGCTTCCCAGTCCTCCTCAAGAGAAACAAAGAAAGTCTCGCTCTCAAGTACCACATATACCTGTAAAGCAGAAGTGGGTTCATTTTGTTTGCCTACTTGTAAAATTTGAGTCAACATTTTAAAATAAAGAAATTTCACATAATAGTTAGCATCTTTGGAAAAAAGGAGTTGTGGCTACAGTGGGCATGTACTCTTGAGAGGCAAGAACGGGCCAGTGTCCCTGTGCATGGGAACTGAGAGCCCCCACTGGTCCCCACAGCCCCTGTACTTGATTGTCCACAGTCCTCAGGCTTCCCAGGGCACTGCATCCCCTGAGTCTGCTTTTTCTTCATCTGTAAGTCACAGGCTGGCCATGTCTCATCTGTTTAAAATCCTTCTCCAGGGCCCCGACAGCATGCCCCACATCTCCAGACTGGCAGTTGTGGCTCTCAGAGGCCTGGCCTATCAGGGCATTGGTTAACCCAGGAACAACATGAATCCTCTTAAAGACCAGGGATGGCAAATTAATGGAAGGTTTCACTTGAAAAATACCCAGATTTGTGGTTTTGTTTTATAAAACGCCACACTCTCACACTGCCAGCTGAGCCAAGCAGTAGCTGCCCCTTCGGGCAGGGCATGTCTCCTCTCTGGCTTCTCACCTGGCCTGCACATGCTGACTTACGACAGCGGCCTGGGGTCTGCCTGCATTGGAGCCCAACACCCCTGGTTTGGGGCCCATTGAAGCAAACCTGTCTCAGCCTTTCTTTACCTTCCAGGTACTAGGATTATGGGGACAAAGAAGCCCAGCTATCCCCAAACTCTCAGTTCCCGTGGACAAATGTGAACAGTGTTTGTAGAGGCAACTGGGCTAACAGGATCTGGAAAGGAGCGTAAGAAGATATTTTCTCAGAGTTGGGCAGTGTTGATGGGAGACTGTGGAGGGGGCCGAGGGTAGGAAAGGAGGGGTTGGCCAGTACCTCCTCTGAGGCTGGCACTGTCCCTGACCCTGGTGTTCCCTCAAAGAACATACCTGGCCACTGACAGACAAATGTTCTCCTGGCACTGGTTTTATCCACTCATTGCTGACCAGTCCTTCCTGCCTCTCAGGGCTCTTCCACTTTGGCCGGGGTGACAACACCTTCCTCTGTGGACTCTCCTCCTCCCTGGCCCTTCTTCCTCCCTCGCTCTCCTCTTTCCTCAGAAACCTCCCTAATATCATGACAAGAATGTGCCCAGTACAGAGCTTCGTCTGACTGCAGCCCTGGGCCCTGGTGCTGGGGTATGAGAAGAACCTTCCCTGCGAGGACAGCCTTGTCTGTCTTAGTGTCTCCGGAACTCGGGGGCCAAAATCTGCAGCAGAGCCGAGAGTGCAGCCCAGGCCCCACATCCCTCAGCTGTGTGCCTGCTCCATTTCCAAGCTTTCAGCTGAGGAACTCACAGCAACGCCTTCTTGGTTTCTTTCCCTCCCCCCACGCAGTCCAACATGCGCGAGCCCGGGCACTAGGCTGTAGCAGTATCTCCCATGTCCTCCTCATGCCGAGCCACCAGGGGGCAGAGACAGGGGTGTGGCACATCTCTAGTTTGCATTTACTTCTTAAAAACATCGCCACCCAGCAGGAGTGGCTCAGTTAGCTGAGCATTGCCTTGTGCACTGAAGGTTGCTGGTTTGATTCCCAGTCAGGGCACATAACTGGGTTGCAGTTTGATCCCCGGTCAGGGTGTGTGAGGGAGGCAGCTGAATTGATGTTTCTCTCTCTCTCTCCAAGCATGCCCTCAGGTGAGGATTAAAATTAAAAAAGTACTGCCTGCCGTGGCACTGAGAGGCTGGAACCCACAGTAAATTCAGTCTCTGTCCTGCTGGCACCACTGTGAAGTGCACGTGAACAGGGGACATGGTACAAACACTCGAGGGTACGTGTTATAACTGGAGATTGTGCCAAGTGCCTGGGACTCCAGGGTAAAGCAATGGTCTCTGCCTGAGAGTGGGGTAGGGTGCAGCATCACAGTCTTAGAGAGGAAATATTTGGGCTAGTTTCCAAGGGGAGAGGCATCAGGCAGACGGGTGTCAAGATCCCATAAATGGTGACACTGAAATCTTGGGTGCATGGAACAGGGTGACAGGAAAAGGTTGTAAAAATAGGCTGTGAAGACCCTGAATGCCTGCTAATGAATCTGGACCTTATCTCTTACTCTAGGAGTTCAGGCCCTTGAGTCTGGGGCCGTTCACTAAGCAGGTAGTGATATGGTCAGACCTGGGGCTTGGGAAGACCATTTTGGTACAGCTGAAATGGAGGAAGACTAGTTAAACCAAGGCCACATGTATTCCACAGAAGTGCTTCAGTTACACCCACACAACACTTAGAACACAATTGAGAAGTAAAATCTGCCAGGACAAAAGGGAGAAGTGAACAAACTCACAAATAAACTTGGAGACATCAACACTCCTCTCTCAGTAACTAAAAGAATAGACAAAAAAAATCAGGATAGGAAACCTGAACACTGTCAACCAACTTGACCAAGTTGACACTGAGGAAACACTCCGCAACAGCAGCAAATTCACAGAAACTGTCACCAAGACAGACCATATTCGGGGCCACATAACTAACCTTAATAAATTTCAAAGAACTAAAGTTACAGTATAATAAAACTAAATTAAAAATCAATAGCAAAAGACATCTAGAAAATCCACACATATCAGGAAATTAAGCAACACACTTCTAAATAAAACATGAGTCAAAGAAGAAATCACAAGGAAAACCAAAAAATATTTTTAACCGAAAGATAATGAAAACACGACATATCCAAATGGGATGTAGCTAAAGCAAGTGTTAGAATGAAATTTGTAACTAAAAAGGCTTGTATTGGGGAAGTTTAAAATGATCTTTAAAAAGTAGAAGAAAAACCCTAGCAAATTAAACCCTCAGTAAGTAAAAGGAATGAATTAGTAGCATTAAGAGTGGAAACTAATGAAATAAAGAAAGCAGGTCCATCTTAAAAAATCAGATTTCACATAAAGATCTGGATTTTTGGCTACTGAAGAGGTTCTCGCAACAGTGGACCCAAAACTGACATGGCAGCAATTGGTGCTGCAAAGGCCACCCTTCAGGCAGGACACACGGCCCAGTTCATGAGGAGGCCAAAAACGGGTCCCACAGTACCAAGAACTGGTGGGAAAGACGTAAAAAGGAGAAAGAGAAGCTGACCTGAAGTCCACTTCAGCACAGAATCTCAGGTTTGGGGGATGAGGGCAGAGGGCAGAGTTGAAGGTGGCCTGGCTTTCAGTTCTGGCCTGGATACTTGTGACAGGGGCGCCCTTTGCAGCAGTGGGAAAAGAAATGTTGCATGGGAGCCTTTAGGGAGGAGAGATAGCAGTTAGTTCTGTTTGGACACACTGAGTCTGAGGTGTCTCAAGGACACCCAGAAATGGTACTTTGAGCAAGCAGCTCAAAATGAGCCTGGAGTTCAAGTAAGCCCCGCAGGGACATAGAGGGGCAGGTTTCACCTTTTTGGAGTCACATAGGAGAAAGCCAGCAGAAATCCCTCAGAGAAATACTGAGCACCCACAACTGGGGATGGGGCTTTGAGATACTGACAATTCCCGAGCCTAACATTTCACTGTCCTGAGACTGACCTGAGATGGGATCAGACCTTAAGAAACACCACAAGCCAAAGCAGCTCCCCAGCCTTGCGCAATGTGAAGAATCATGTGGGGAACTTGTCAAAATACAGACTTCTGGATCTCCCTCTGTCCTACCCATTCAAAGACTGTGAGGACAGCCCTGGAGACCTTGATTGTTAACAAGCTTCCCGGAGCACCTGGGAAGCCCTGCTCTAAGGAGCAGGCTGTGAAAAAGAGGCAAAGAGTGTAGGAGAATCAGAGCAGGTAGAGCAGAAAGGATCATTACCAAAATGCTGGGAACAGGCAGGGTCAGGTGTGTACAGCACAGACAGGGAAGGAAGCCAATGGGTTTGGCAATGAGGCTGTCAAGGATGGCCTTAAATGGAGCCATTTTGGTAGAGAAAAGAGCCAGACTGCCAAGGGTCCAGGAAGGGTAAAAGGTGGCCCAAATACTCTGCAGGTTAGGAGAGGGCAGGATACAGCTGGAGGGTAAAAGCAAGGTTATGAAAGACTTTTTTGTAGGAGAAAGATTCCAGACTTTTAGCAGGTGGATTAACTGTGAGAGGCAAAGAATGAGAGTGAGGTAGAGAGGGTGGCTAGATGGTATCCCAAGAGTGGTTTGCTACAGTCTCACTGGGGGGCACACCACATCGCCGGGCACTCAAACGTCTCAGCTCGTGCATCCTCTCTGGGCCTCTGCAGGAGATGGCTTAACATCTTACTGAGAGGACTAAACAGGTGCAGAGATTAAGAACCAGTCTGAGGTCATATGACCAAGCAGTAGATAGAAAATTGCTGGGTAGCCTACAGGAGCCCCCTCAAACTTGCCACACCCAAAAACCAAGCTCAGACTCACTCACTCCTTCCCTTTTCAAACCAGCCTGACCCCATCATGAAACCCTGATTCATGAAATGCTGATTCTTCAGCCTGTCTCAGGCCAGACATCTGCAGTCACCTCCTACTTTTCTATCTGACCTCCATACACAAACCCTCTGTTGGTTTCCCCTCAAACTACAATAAACATCCAAGAGCAGGGACACTGGGAGGGCCTCCTACAAGGATCTGGCCTGACCAATCTTCTGTAACTCTGCCAACTTCCTCTTTCCTTTCCTGAATTCTGCTCTTCTTCATACATGCCAAGTCTGTTCTGACTCAGGCCTGGGTGTTTGCACTTGCTCGTCCCTATGCCTGGGACCCTCTCCCAGTACTTGACTGGCCCATTCCTTAAGGTCTGTTCAGGCCTCTGCTCAAGTGTCACCTTAGGGGCCTACACTGCCACCATTACCTAGCTTTATCTTTCTTCCTGCTATCTGACGTCATACTGTAGCTTTGTGCAATTTCTGTTTTTCCTACCAGAATAAACACTACGAGAGCCAAGACCTCATCTGTTCGATTACCCACTATCTGAAAACCTAGAACGGGCTGGCACATCGTGTGTACGTGCTGAATGAATGCCTCAATTTAGTGAGATGCTTAGATCACAGCTGCATAGCCATCCCCAATCGAAGACCTTTAGGACTGTGGGGTCTCACTGTGGCTTTCAGGGCCTTGACTCTCCTGGCTCCCTTTCCAAGCACTCCACATGGAACCTCTGCAACAACCAAGCCAGTACCTCCAAAGCAACTTGACTCCTCTCTGCCACCCCCCTTCCAGCCTGTGCTCCCTCTGTTTGGCAGGCCCTCCCAAAGACTACCCCCCTGGTGGTCAGTGCTCAGTCAGACACTAGCCTGAACTCCTAAGCTTCCCTGACACTCGACATGCCCCATACCTGGCCCAGAATCTATCTTCAGGAAATATTTGCTAAAGGACAGTTGTTTGGATGTAAGAATTCCCCTGGACTTGAATGCTCCTACATCGATCATAGTGGCTACTGACTGGAGGCAGAGATTGAGTGGGAAACTAGGGGACAGCAAAAAGGGCCAAAAATGACCTTAGGTTGGTGTTTATAAGGGCAGGATGCTCCAGCCTTGGCTAGCCAGAGGCACAGGTTCCTGTAGTTTCATCCTCAGATGTGCCACTATCAGACCAGAATTACTTCGGGAAGCCAGGCAGGCAGGGAAATGACGGACTCAAACACAACAGTTGCCAATGGAAACGAAGGTCCAGGGGAGCAGGAAATCCATATGTGAATGTGAAACCTGCCATTTTATTTACTTATTTATTTATATTTATTTAATATATTCTTATTGACTTCAGAGAGGAAGGGAGACGGCAAGAAACATCAATGATGAGAGAGAATCATTGATTGGCCACCTCCTGCACACCCCCTACTGGAGATCAAGCCAGCAACCCAGGCATGTGTCCTGACTGGGAATCGAACCGTGACCTCCTCAACCACGGAGCCACTGCAGCCGAGTGAAACCTGCCATTTCTGATGCTGGCCCTTAATTGAAAACTAGCCAGGATGACAAAACACATTCCAGTCCATTCATCCTACCTATCGGTTACAATGAACCTCCTCCACCGGTTTCCACTTTTCCAGCATTCAACACCCCTCTCATGTGGAGCATGCCCAGTGACGTGACCAAACACAAGGCCCGCCTGGCCGTGCCTGTGAGGCCAAGGCCAGGGACTGGTGCAGGGGCTCCACTGACTTTACCTTCATTGTGCTGAGCTCTCCTTCTCTCATCCCGGGGTGTTCTAGTTCCATCAATTTTCCTAGAAGAGGGATAAAATGGGCACATGTTATCTCAGAGCCCATTTGTCCAAGCATTTATTAAGAAGTCAGACTTGAAAATGACCTTTGCAAGACATATTCATATGTAGGAAGAAAGAGGAAATGATACTTTCTTTATACTGAAGAAACAAAAACAGACCAAAAAATCTATCAAGTGTCTACTGCGTGCTCAACTGCCTGACTTCTACTTCAGAAAACCTTTCCTTCCTTCGACCCCACACCAGGCCCTCCCAGTGTCCCCTGCTCCTGGGCCCAGGTCTCCTGCACATACGGGGAGTAGGGATGGGTCCGCGGTGCAATCGTCCTTTGCGTTCCTGTCTGAAGCACGTCCTGGGGCGTCATCATGCCATAGAACTGGCCTGGAGGGAAAGCAGGGTTAGTGCTAAAACTAGGGGCAGAGTCAGAAATGGCTGGGGAATCCCTCCCTGATGGGCCTGTCGCCTCCCCTGCCTTCCACCTCGGCCCCTTCCTCCCTTTACCTCCGGCCTGCAAGCTCTGGTCTGTGGTCTGTACCGACACAGCCGTGGTATCTCCCACACTGGACGCTGGGAAATAGGCAAATCGTGCCTCCCCACTGACAGCCTCAGCTGCTGGGCTGCCGCCATTGCTGAAGGGATTTTGGATTACAGCCTGGGGAGTAGGAGGACACAGAGGCCACCCTCAGCCATCTTGTTCCCCAAACTCTCCCCCTGTCGCCCTGTTTGATGGACACTGCATCCTCTACGGAGGGCGGGACCGCTCTGTATGTACTACTCTGCCGATGCCTCAGAGGGCCCTAAGACTTGCAGACACTCGGCAATCATTTGGTGAACCAACTGACTTTTACCTCTGAGAAAGAGGCTTTTCTATTACCATGATCCCAAGTTTAAAAAACAAAACAAAAACGATGTTCCAAAGACCTTGTCCAAGATTTCACTGTGCAGAACACGAATTTAACCCACACAGCCTGACAGCCTGAAGGCAGCATCTGTGTTGCACATGCCCCACCCACTGGGACTCCCCCCAAACGGTCAGTGTCCCCTCTCCGTCCCCCCGGCACTGCTGAGGACCTACCAGTGGGAAGGGTGCTGCAGGACCTGGGGGCACAGAGGCAGCAGCAGGGCCGGGGCGCTGGGCTGCCCCATCCACACCCACCTGGG